ATAACGCCGCGTGCAGGAGCAGGAGAACCTAAGGCTCTCCCATCGCTTACGGGAAACAGAAGCTTCCGCTCCAGATCCTTGACACGATCGTTGAAAATCGGAGCCTGCTGCCGGTAGAGGAATATCGAGTAGTCCTCGAAGGGGGTGCCGTCTTCGGCCACGCCCCCCTCGCCAAGGCCGCCCTCGCGGAGTAGCTTGCCCGCCTGCAGGAGCTGCAAGCTCTTGTAGAAGTTCTGGGTCTGGTGGTAGCGCTGCTGGCGCCTCTTGCTCATCCGCTCCTGGCGATTCTCCTCGATCTCCTGCAGACGCTGCTGGCGCTCCTCCTGCGCAGCAGATTAGGATAGTGAAACACACATTGGAGATTTGGGGTGGGGGAGTCTGGGTGGAGGGTCTAGTTTTCCTCTTTGGGGGCGTGATTTGTTTTGGGACAGACACGAAGGAATGACTACTTTCTATGGACTACTGCTAGAATGGACTACGTTAGGACTAGGGGTGTATGATTCAGTACAATGAGGACCACACTGGAGGACAACACTGGAGGGACGACAAGTGGACACTGAACGAACTGACCTCATTGATGGATTCGTATGCGCTAATGGCGTTACTGAGTTCATGACAGAGAGCTGTTCTCAGCAGGAGCTGAACCTTGGGAGCAGAGTTGTTCGATTGATTTGATTGGGTTTCATATGATACTGCGATTTCTTGAGATTTACTTTGTGTGGTTAACAATTAATTAATTTCGTGTGTATATATGTACATGATAGATTGATTTATAACGAATTTAACAAGTTTATGGCAATGAAAGAAATACAATTCGAATGTAGATATAACGAAACCAGTGCAAACGGCTGAAGGGGTGCAACATGGAATGGATCACTCTTCAGCCTTCTGAACTTGGTTTATGGATTCAATCCAAGATATAACATAATGCCAGCATCTACTCACAATATTGGCGGTCTTGTCGGTCTGTCGGCGTTTCTTCGAGCGACGAGGAGTATCGTTCTGACCTGAAGCGAGAAAAGAAGACAATCAATTCGCATTCTCCAACAAACCCATCGTACAGGCAGTAACTTCTTCTCCGGAGTGAGGATAGGTTTCCCTATCAAGCCACTTTAAACTCTAATATTCACTTAGCTGCCACTTTAATTTGAACATTTAATTGGAAAGCAAGGTCTAGCGTGGAGCAGCCAAGTTGAGATTTTATTGCCACTTTACAATTTCACGCGATCGGGCGCTTCTCCGCCACTCACTCCGAGATTCATCTATCTGCCAGACTACGATGTACGATGGTTATCTTCAACACACCCGGCTGCAAGCTGCTTCCCGCTCCTGTTCCTCCTCCGCTGGCAGCAACGCCTCCGGCTCCTGCTCCCGCGGCCACACCACCGCTCTGCATCAACTGCTCGTGGCGACGCTGCCGCTTGGCTCGCTCCTCCTCCAGCACAGAGCGCCGCTGCACAGTAGTCGGTATGTCCATCGCATCCTGCATGGGCGACTTGGCCTTCGGTTTCGTGGCCAGCAGCTTTGAGAAGTCCGGCTGGGCGTGGGTATGGTTGATCCTGTACTTCTGGCGCAGGTCACTGAAGTCCATTTTGGGATGCTTGATGTGGGGGATCTCGCCGCGGAACAGCTCGCAGATCTGGTCCAGGTAGGCCAGCCACACCCGCGACTCAACGTCCGTGAGATCCAGCGACTGCTTGGCGGTCATGATGCGATTGATGTGCAGCTCCCGGTCCAGAACGGCAAAGGCCAGTTCGTTGCACTCCAGGGGATTCATTTCTTTGGTGGCCGCCAAGTCTATGAGATCAGGGCGATAGCTAGAAGGCAATACTGGGTATAACCAGAGAGCTTTATCTCATTTCGTCCAATACTTACCGACTAATGAGGGCACACAGGACACGTCCATTGCGGAATACATCTGAAGGCTCCTTCAGCTCCGCCACAAAGTGATGCGAGTGCAGCTGGGCACTGATCCATCGCAGGAGTGTGGCTCCTTGTGGCAGAGTATCTACGAAATATACACAAACTTTGAATAAAGCTCTCACGATTAGGATGCACTGCTACCGACCTCCACTGCGTCGCTTTCGCCTGCCTGGAGTGTCCACATGAGGCGCCTGCAACGCATGCGTGTCCATGAAGGTCTGCTCCAGAATAGAGGGGTCGTCTGTGTCCACCAAATGCTTCACCTGCCAGCTATTAACCGAATCCCTGTTCAGGTTGGGGTAACGCGTGGCCGGGTCCACCGTATAGGCACTGATGTCCCTCTGGAGAGTGTCCGGCGTGGTTTGGTTCAGCAGCCTGTAGATACTCTCGCGCTGCGCCAGGACACCCAGAGTGCTGTTCTGCGGATTAGACCACAGCTTGATCGCATAGGCCGCGTCCATGCTGGAGAGGAAGCCGCGAGCACAGCCCGATCCAGTTGGCCAGAAGGGCTCCAGCAGACTGTCGCCTACAAGGCACTGCAGCAACCGGTATCCTTTGCGGACCACCACCCGGCAGGACATCTCGGCGGCGAACATGGACGTGAAGTCGAACATGGCCACGTCCGGCTTTCCGTAGTGATTGACTGCAAACTCCAGATTGGGCATCTGGTACTCCGTGGAGAACTCGGCCGCCTCGCGGGCATAGTCGTGCAGCTTCTGGGTGTCCACATTGGCAGGAGCCAGAAGCTCACCCGGATCGGCCATGTCCTCGATTATGACGCCCTTGTCGATCAGACTGTGCTTCTTGGCCGTCATCACGAAGTAGTGCGTCTCGTCCTTGTAGTAGACAATGTTCTCCAGGTCGATGCCCGTCTTGCCGTAGAGCTCCTTGAAGAAGGCCTGGTTGAAGATGAAGGCCACCCCGCTGATCTCCTCCACCTTGGCCTCGGCCTCGGTCTTCTTGTTTATGAAATTGGCGGTGATGGCGATGGCCAGCTTGCCGCGGAACTCCTTCCGTCTGAAGTCCAGCATGTTCCTCTTGCCATCCGCGCCGATCAGGACGTCGAACTCATAGTGGGAGACTGCGTGATCAGCTGGGGAAACTGATGCCCTCCATCCGCCTCCCTCGCCGTTGGGCTCCACGGCGTGCTCGAAGCTGACGCCCTCGTGGATCTCCACACCCAGGAGCAGGGCCACCTTGAGCAGCATGCACTGCAGCTGCCGAATGGAGATGTGGTCGATGGACCCGGCGCAGAACTTGCCGTAGAACTTCTTGGCCCCCAGGTTGCGCAGATCCGTGATCACAAAGGGCCACAGGTGAAGCACGTTGTTGCGGGTAATGCGGTCGCGCTTCTCCAGCACCACCACTTTGGCGCCCAGGAGCTGGGCTTCGATGGCAGTGCGCAGGCCGCAGGGCCCGGCACCGATCACCAGCACCCTGGTGCCGGAGCAGGCGGCCCCCTTCCCATAGACCCGGTGGGCGGCGCGGGCGTCGAACTTCTTCCAGAGCGCCTGCGCCTTCCAGGAGCGCACCTTGGCCTTCAGCCGGGGATAGAAGTCGTTCAGCGGCGAAGGACGCAGGCCCACCGCCTCGCACATGGCCCGGTGCAGCGCCAGGATCTGGCGCATCGTGGTGGCCACGCAGAGGAGATCGAACAGCTCCGCCGCCTCCGCGGCTGCGGCATGCTCCGCCATGAGCAGCTGTTGTTGTTGCTGCTGCTGGGCCGTCAGCTGCTGTTGCTGCTGCGGCTGGTGGAGCTGCTGCTGATGGTGGTGGTGGTGGTGCCGCTGGTGTTGGCGGCTCATTCTGCAAGAACAGAGAGAGGAGAGCGGGAATCAGTCGGGTGTGGTTTCTGTGGTGTGGAAATGTAAGAGTGGTGTTCTGGACAACAACACATGCACAACACAGCTGGGGAATACAGCTCACACATGGTTCTGAATTATATTTTTGTTCTTTTTTGACAGATTTTTCATTCAGATTTCCTTAAATACGAAATGGCTTTGTTTATTTTTCTCAGAACATGGCTGTCAAATTAATTTGAATTAATTAAGCGAATTAAAAAGATTCGCGATTGCCGACAAAGCTACGAGGTATACCCTATTTAAGCTAATTAAAATAATTTAATTATGAGGAAAGGAGAACACATAACCCCATAGATTTCTGACTAAAGACCTCTGGCTACCTTCCTTTGTGAGGGTATATCCTGACCTGCTTTGGTGTCAACGAACCATCTTTTCTTTCCTCGTAACGGACAACCCTTTCCCCCACATGCAAATACGTAAACAATATACAAGTTTTACTTTTTAAATATTCACAAGATACACAGACTGCTGAAAGCCGAAAGATAAACTCCCCCGCGGAAAGAAAAGCATTTTAGAACCAACAAAGACCTTTAATTTGAACTTGTCATCCCAGTCTTCCCAGTTGCATACTCATTTCTCAGCTTTTGAATCTCGACCGAGAGCATTATACTTCAATTAATTGAATCAGAGGGAATTACTCATGCTGCGGTCAGTGGTAAAAGTATGAGCAGTTTCCGAACAAAGACGAAGGCCAGGCCCAAGACGAACTGGGCAATACTCTACCCCCGAAAACAAATCACTTGGAAGCCATCAACAAGCTTTGTAGTTTGCCCATCTTGTGGCTATAATTGGAACTGCCCTCGGGGGGGCAGTGATGACTAGTGAAGCAGACACACAAAAGCCAAAGGCAAATGAGCCGGCAAAAGGCTGCCACTCGAGTTTGAACTTCTGTTTGGGATCCCACCTAGACAGGCAACAACCTGACAATGGACATTCGGTGGCTTAAAACCGGGAACTGCCAGCAAGTGGGAGCTGGGGCTGCAAGGTGGGAGCTCATAAGTGGAGTGCAGGGCGAATAAAAAATAAAAATGAAAAGTAAGCCACAACCGCAGCTGTTCGTTCTTTGTGGGAATGCGAATGTGAATGTCCCGCACTTGCACACAAAGGACAATAGCCCTGGGGGGGAGGAAACAAAAACGACGCCATAAAGGAGGACACGAGTCATTGCCCCATTTTTGTGACTTGGCCAGGATCAGCATAAGGAAATCAGTTGGGTGCTTGTGCTCCCGATTCACAGCAATGGTAACATGAACCATTGCCTTGTTTATTCGACGATAGTAAAGGTTGGGTGTGTGGCAGTGTGGGTCTTCGCAAGGAGCACTCCATGGGTCGTACAATTTGCATAAATGGAGAATTAGAGTACATGCGAGACTGGCATCATGAGAATGACATCGTCCATGGGCACGTCTCCGGACGGGGTGTACTCTCGCTGTTCGCCGGCCGAGACCTGGCGGTAGCGGTTATCGTTCCCCATCGGCGGCGATCCGTCCAGCTGCTGGAGCTTGAGCATCAGTTCCGACATCTGCGGCAGCGGCGCATTCTCCTGATCGTCGCTGCTATTCGACTGGCTGTTCAGGGCCAGAATCTCAGCCGCATACTGATCGATGTCCCGGCTCAGCTGATCCACAACTGGCTGCACCACCGAGTACCGGCCTCCGCTGCAGCTGAAGAACCCCTGGCGCACACCACCCTCGAGCACGTCTTGCACCACCGGGCCGATGGGTGGCAGCGGCAGCTTGTAGACGTCGGCCACACGCTCGGCAACCTCAAAACTGGTTGAGGGACGACCCAGAACCTTCAACACCTCCAGCACCAGTGCACCGTTCTGCTTTCCCAGATTCGTCGGATTCATATTTGTGGATACAGTATCAGTTGGGGAACTCTACGCGACTCGATTCGATTCGAGTCGATTGAAATACGATTTTAGGTGCTTCTATAACTTTCGATGTTTTTAGTTCCGTATTGCTAAAAATTAACAATGAATTTATAAGCTTTTACTTTTGCGACGTCGGTCTAATATTAATGACAAAATCTAAATGTTTTTGGTTAAGAAATATTTCTAGAAATGTAGCTGGTCCCGAGGTTTGTGAAATACTAAAACGAATGACGGATGAACTGTAGGTTTTCGATTGGAGATGTTAGGGGTAGCCTGCTTGGTTCTGTGGAATGGAGTTCCTTAAACCCAAGACTAGAATGTCGGAATGCCATAAACATTTTTGTTTATCTCACAAATGGAAGCCTGGGAAGGGGGCACTTTTGTAAGAAAAGGAAATCCCTTCTCAAGGAAATGTTATTCAACTGTTTTTTTGTATTCCACGCACAATGGATTCTCCCTTTACTTTTTTGCATGGGCATTACCTTTCGACAAATTATTCTACAACTACCCACACCCTTTGGTTAGGGGGGCTCTCCTAACCAAATGCCAAGAGTCAGTCCAGTCTGCTCGAATTTCTGTTGTCTCATCGTCTATTAAAGTTCGAGCGAAAAATTCGATTGGCGCCAAGAAAGTCATAAAAAATGGAGCCCGGTTGGGTGGGTCACGCAATTGGCGACAGCCCGACAGCCAGCACAGCCCCCACTCTTGATTCTCTAAAGCTCGCCGGGCTTCTTTTCTCCCACTGTGTTTGTCTGGGTTAAACAAAAGCCTTGTGGGTCACATCGGGCACACACCACGGCATTATGTCACTGCGCGCCGTCAGAGGGGGGCCCCAGAACCGTCAGATGAAATACAAAAAAATTAAAGTCCAAAGAAAATGAAAAGTTTAGCCATTATCGATTTTTGTCTGCCGACAATGCAGAGTCTGTTGAGGCAGGAAGAGAAATTAAAATTCAACAAAGCTATAGATGGGGGTGTACACCCCATGAGGGTTAAATGCGCGAATGAGTCATCTATGGTCAGGTTTTTTGCTCGCGAGGATGTCCCAAAAATAAAACCCACCCACATACTATATAGGAAGCTCAATTAGTCATAAACTCAGAGACACACAAAATTATTTGGACTTTGGAAAGGCGAAAGATTTCCTCGTTTATTAAACGATGCACATGGCCGGCCGGACAAGATCAAGGTTCTTGAGAACAAATGAACCATCTCAGATTTTGATTCAAGACGTTTGCCTTCCCATCCGGACCCAACAATAAAGAAAAACTTGGCCAATAGCCAGGAAATCTCTAAGAAATATTCGAAACACACCAAATCTTGTAGCCTCATTCATAAACAAAATAATTAATTTTGTTTTTCCAACCCAAATAGTAGACTTTTGTCGCTCACCTGAAGCTCTTTGCTCGAATTTCTACTTTGAAACTTTGATTATATCACACACTCTGCTGTTTATTTATTTAATTTGTTTAAATATTTTGTTATTGCGGGGAGATTTTCGTTGCGTATTCAGGAGCCACTTGATCGGTAATGAAGCCATCCCGGAGCTCGACACCATTTTTAAGGCCCTCTACAAAGGGGGCTGACAAAGATACAATGAATCCGTCAGGTGAACAAAAACAAGGAACCTCCCAACCACTGTGGGAACTGCGCCGACGATCGTCACAAAAACACGAACAAAACTCTAATTATAGATTTATAGATATTGTATCTACAGTCAGAACGAATCAAACAAGTGTTTCTTCCATTTTTTATCAACTAACGAGGTGCATTCTACTAGCTTGTAGATAAGAAAGAGCTACATATACCTTTTCTAATAATTCCAAATAAGCAGAACTTGTAATGAAAGTCACGTAATTTACATACACATTCTGTGGTTTATTTTGGTCAATTTTTATGAGACAGCCAGCGATAGAAATATGCTACTCAAACGTGAAGAGTTTTCAGAGTCGAAATTCGAAAAGTGAAAACCTTCAAAATGTCTTACTAAAATGTGATGAGCATTTCATAATTAATATATGTTTTTAGCACCTATCTTACTATATATTTAGAATTCTAACATCTGAGGCAAACAGTGGGATGCCTGACTGATTTGCTTTCATTGTTGCCGGATTTGATCGACAGCTCGCACCGATTCGCATCAAAAATTGTTGAAATTGCAACAAATTGATTTATGAAGACAACAAACTATGCTACTATATACTGCGAACTATGCGGAAGCACTAAGGGAAAAGTATCTCTAGGGGTATTCGGTAGAGAAGAGAAATTATTCGACCGAGTGTGACAATTAAGAGGCACGCCCGCTGGCGTTTTTCTTCAAATTTCAGTTGGTTTCACAATTACAGCGAGATGACAAGTGAGGAGAACAATGAAAATAGATTTGATTGAATAAATCTTGTAGCCGGCAGTTGGTTAGCAGCCAAAACGTTGGGCATTGTTATGAATTCGTTATTGCATTTAACTTGGCACTAACCGACGTGAATTAATAAATTAGGTTTAATTAGCAAGGGTCGGGCCGAGTGCCGACAGAACAGCTTAACTCGAAATGCTACCCAATTAAGATTTAAAAGCACTGTTGACACCCCAACCATAATTCGGTTTTAGAACGCTGTCTATGGAGATTAAAGTTTGAAACTGAGATACAAGTACGACGATGTTCTGAAATAATTCTGCACTCTCTGTAGTGTAATTCGAGGCATAGATATCTGAAACAGACAGCAATGTATGTTCGCTTAAACATTTTTCGCTATTCTTAGCCAAGCAGAATTGGGTCAGCAAACGATGCGGTTGGCCAACTCGCAGCCACGAGCCAAACATTTTGGCCGAGATGGCCCGAGAAGCGGCGAGGCGCCTTTAACTTTTTTTTCATTTCTACATATATACTATTTATTTATACAGAAAAAAATACAGAATTAATTGATATTAAGTGTGGACTCTCCCAGTTTTGTGTTCCTTACGCAAAAGCAATTTCTTTCTAAGCAAATTTTAATGCAAAATCAATTTTGTTGGCGCCTTTGGCTTCAAATGACATCATCTCCGGCAAGCTTCCCACCACCTACATCCTCCGGGGATTATCCTTTTGAAACTGTTTCGTTGACATCGTTGGAAGTTGCAGTTCATACCCATCCGCTATGCGTCAACCCACATTTTATTAAAATAAAGCACTCCGCCTTTACAGGAACAAAATAACTAAACTGGGTGTGGGGATACATAGGCATCCCAGTTCGCCCTCTTACTGTGCTCTACTTGCCGTACAACTCTGGGATTGAGGTCAGACCCGGACAAGTTCTCTTTTTTTTTTTTTTCGAAAAATAAAATACAAAATTACAATTTACATAAATATTCAATTGTGGTGCGGGGTTAATTGAACACTCAACTTACTTGTCTCAGTCGTTGTCGATGTCGTGTGGGTCTGTCATATATGCAGCATTAACTGAAAAGAAATGTGATATGGTTAGATCGAGTTGTATGCAAATAAAAGCTACCAAAAGCTACAATTTATTGTTTCCAATTATGCTACCATGCTAGTCTCATGACATTTCAATGTTGAGGCCAATTAAAGATATTGCTTCGAAAATCATGTGGGTTGTGTGCGAATAACTCGGAATATCATCAACACCGCTGGCAGTTGGCAAGAAAACCAATTTATAAATGTCTATGGGGCTTATGATGGATTTCAGGTTCTCAGTGAGTCGCGTGGGTATGGAAACAAAACACAGAATTATGCAAAAAAAAATAGAGAAAAATATTTGATAAATGCCAAGATGGTTAGACCGAAATGAGGGATACTCTATTCGAAACCCAGATTGAAAACGACAGATTGCCAGAACTATTTATTGCTCGTCCAATTGCAATCGCAGACAAGGTAAACAAACAAAATCTCAGACGTAAACACCTGCTTAGGTAACGTCGGCTACCACATGGCAATTACCACATCCTTCGGCCTGTCTGTCTACCCTTCCTACCCCATCCTGCCACAATCCACAATTCAGCAATGAATTGTGCACCACTCTGGGCAGTTAAAACTGCAGCAAATAGTACGTATGCCTGGGCTTTTGTTCGAATGCAACAGCCCAGGCACGAAAATGGCATTAAAACTCAGTGGAGACGACGAAACGATGACGTTCAGACGCTCAGACCTATAACGATGAATAAAACACTTTGTGGAGACTCCAGGTCCCCAGCGGAAAATGCAGAAAACCCCAGTCCCCAATCCCCAGTCACAACAACAAGCCAGAGGAGACAAGACCAAAAAGAGAAAAAAAGCCAGAAAGAAAAGCCCAAACATAAAATCACGTGGCCGACCGCACAGAGGAGACTCTAAACTTGGAAAATAGTTATTGGGAAAATGCTCTAACCAAATAGCTTCCATCTACTCTCTATACTATACTGAGTTTCAAATAACTCTAACTTTATATATAGTTCAAGTTCCAAAAACTTTAATAGAAAACTATAGATACCCTTTGGAAAGTATATAGGTAAAAGGTATTGCGTCTCCTGGCTGGTAGTTTTGTCGGCTGCTGTTTTGGCCGACGACTGCAATGAATGAAATTAAATGTTGCCAATGGGGATAGACAGACTCACACGAAGTAACAAAAACAAAAAAAAATAAAAATAGTTAGAAATACTGGCATGCAAACAACAACTCTAGCTGCTAGCCAGTTTTGCTGTTAGTCAGTTTGGTGGTTCGCTGCTTGCCGCAGCAGCCGTCAAAAGTTGCCAAACTTGGCCAAGTGTGCAATGGCAAGTGTTCGGTTATTTTTATAGCCACCGCAACTACAACTACAACAACAATAGAAAAAAAACACAACCGCCACCACGACAAGTGCAACAGCGAGCTAAGGTGAAATATGATTGCAGGCTGGTTGGCCCGAAGTGGAAAAGCCTTAAGGAAAACCAAGCTAAGCCGTGCAAAAGACGTTGCCAGGTTGTTGTTGTAGTTGTTAGCTTTCACTATTTGAGCCGGCCACTCTTTCCATATTAAAACGCATTAACGTTGGCCTTTCTGCTGGCCCACAACTCGGAGCTGTCGGTTGCCGAATTTCGGATTCAATAAATAACAGCTCAGGGGCTGAAAATTCTATACATCATAGGGGACCGCGCCCAAAATCAAATCTAAGCATTTTCGGCATTAATATGCAAATTTTTTGGCTGTTCATTAGTTGGGTAATCTATTGCCAATTCATATTCAAAAAAAAATTAAAAAGAGAGAGGGCCAAGAATGTAAGAACTCATGAAGAAATAATATAATAAAC